CCACCCCACCTCTGCTTCTGCTCGAACTCCGGCGGCACCTGTTTGAGATACTACTACTACGCTGACGATGGCCGCCTCGTCCGAAACCGATAGCTGGCCGGGACCGAAATAAGCGTGCTTTGGATGCCGACGACCTCCGCTTCCCCGGCGACCAGGTGCTCGTCTCCCCGTATTTCGTTCCGAGGGCAATACTCTGCTGACGGCGTCGACGGGAATCGGTGTCGTGCAGTGTCCGCCCGCGAGGTTATGTGTGTCTGACAGTTTTGGTCGAAAACATTGGGAGGCACCCCTCTGACATGTCTTAAATGACTTTTCAAGTCTTGAGATTTTTCTGCCGTTTGTAATGTGAGTGTCCAATGTTTGTTTTTAAGGTTATAACCCGTGGTTGATAGTGTATGTGTTTGCTGCTGCTGCTCACTGTCAATGTTGATAACTCTAGTTTATTTATTTTTTTCTCATTCATTACAGATACAACATATTGAATTGAAACCTTACAAAATGCGCGTCAGTATTAAAAGTCTCTGTAGGTTTTTAGCTTTATTAGTTGCTACAGTAGTTGTCACTGTAATAGTTTTCCGATATGTGAGAGAGCGTCCGCCAGCTAATGGCTTAATAAGACGGGACCATCCTAAAGACATTTATCAGCCTTTAGGGAACAGAATCAGGAAGCAGGTTGATGTAAGTAACTGCTCATATCAAATGCAAATTTTAATTAGTGATCTTTACCATCATACTAGTGTTTTCTGCATTTTTTAAGACACATATTTTCTTACAAAATTTGATGTACCTAATTTAATTAACTTATTGTTGTTTTAGACGAATATTGAAAGAATTGACTGGCACAACTATACCCTTATTTATGCAGAAAAGAGACAGAAAGGTATGTATGTTTTTTCTCTATTCTATAACTTTACTCTTTATGGAAAGTTATAACTCGGTCTTCTCTCACTACTCAGGTAAAGGTGAGCAAGGAAGCAAAGCCTTTCTTTCTGCCAGTTATGATGGTGCCAAAAAATCTAAGCTCTATGACAGCAATGGCTTTAATGCACTATTAAGTGATGAAATAGCACTGAACCGATCTGTAAAAGACATACGCCACAAAGGGTAAGAGAATCTAAACATTTTTGATTGCTTGGTAGAATGAAGGATTTTTATAGCAAGTCTTTCCATTTAATTGTTTTCAGATGCCACCTAAAACAGTACCGCAGTGATCTTCCTTCTGTGAGTGTGGTTGTGCCATTTTACAATGAACATCTTAGCACTTTACTGCGAACTGCTATAAGTGTCATAACTCGCACACCCGCACAATTATTGAAAGAAATAATTTTAGTTGATGATTTTTCATCCAAAAGTGAGAACTTCTTGTCACGACAATTATGTTTTACTGAGTTATGCAGGATATTCATAACATTAATGATGACCTTATTTTTCCAGACGAACTGAAGGGAGATTTAGATTCTTATATAGCTGAACATCTTCCCCTTGTACGAGTTGTCAGACTACCAGAAAGATCAGGCCTCATCAGAGCACGCCTTGCTGGAGCAAAACAAGCCAAAGCTGAGGTTCTTGTTTTCCTTGATTCTCACACTGAAGCCAATGTGAATTGGCTTCCACCCTTATTAGGTAAGTAATGATTCTTTTGATATACTTATGTAATTTCCATCTATCTTATGTAAAGTAAATTAGTTATAGCTACATGTCTTGAACTGCTTGTAATTGTGTGTATTTTATTGGTAGACCCGATAGCTGAGGATTATCGTACATGTGTCTGCCCTTTTATTGATGTGATTCAATACGATACATTTGAGTACCGATCACAAGATGAAGGTGCCCGGGGGGCATTTGACTGGGAATTTTTCTACAAAAGACTTCCTCTTCTACCGGAGAGCTTGAAGAAACCTACTGAACCATTTGAGTAGGTTTATAAATTACAGTGACTTATTCATTTTTCTGAGTTACCTCCAATTGTAATATCAATCTTAAAATTTACAGAAATCCAGTTATGGCAGGTGGTTTGTTTGCAATCAGTGCAAAATTTTTCTGGGAGCTGGGTGGATATGACCCTGGCTTGGATATCTGGGGAGGAGAGCAATATGAGTTAAGCTTTAAAATTTGGCAGTGTGGTGGTAAGATGCTGGATGCACCTTGCTCTAGAGTCGGCCACATTTATCGAAAATTTGCACCATTTGCTAATCCTGGGAAGGGAGATTTTGTTGGACGTGTAAGTGAACTCTTAAATGAGTTGTTGTCAGCACATAGCCTGACTTTACTGAAAAACAAACAAACTGACACTTGAACTATTTGCATGTCTCCAGAACTATCGGAGGGTCGCAGAAGTTTGGATGGACGAATATGCAGAATATCTCTACAAGCGCCGTCCTCACTATCGCAATATTGATCCAGGTGACTTAACTGAACAAAAAGCCTTGAGGAAAAAATTGCAATGCAAACCTTTTAAGTGGTTCATGGAAAATGTAGCATTTGATTTGCCCAAAAAGTACCCACCAGTAGAACCTCCCGATACAGCAACTGGCAGGGTTAGTGTTCAAGAAGATATTTTTTGATTAGCTTTAACTAAAATAAAATAAAATCTTAATGACATTTAATCATACACTTTCAGGTTCGTAGTGCTGTGGCCACTGATTTGTGTGTTGATACAGAATACAAGTCAGAGAGCAAGAGATTTGGTTTGGCAACCTGTGATACTGGAAAGACAGAACAGGTAACCTGCTCGGTTCAGTATGCATGTAATACCACACACTAAGTTTTTAAGACTCATTAGTATGGATTTGCTTGCAGTTATTTAAATTGACGTGGAGAAATGATATCAGACCGCAGCATCGGAAGACTCTGTGCTGGGATGTAGCTGACCCGGGTAATAATGCGGCTGTAACCCTATTTTCATGCCACGGTATGGGTGGCAATCAGCTTTGGAAATTCAACAAGGTTTGTTTTGCCAACCATCTTTCTTCGTTTTATGTCAGTGAGGTATTTTCCAACAACTATGGGCAAAAACTACCTTCATGCCTAACCTATGTTTTAATTTTTTCCAGGATAAGCAGTGGCTCATTCATGGCGGCAATCAAAGGTGTCTAGATTGTGACCCTAGCACCCGACTCCTATCTGTGACTGAATGTGATCCTGATTCTGAAACTCAAAGGTGGATTTTTGAATAGACGCAATTCGATTCTTAAGTTAAAATGACTGATCAGATTAATATCAAATAGGTTTCAAGGTATTGTGTCCATGATTGGTTGTCACCTCAAAATTTCAGATGTGTGAGTGTTTAGATAATGAATAGACTGTACACCTCCACCACACAAAGAATTTGAGCGTTGTCATTTCTTGCCAATCAGTTGTTCATAATTTTTATTCATCTTTTATATTTTATCAGTATCAGCAATTGGTAGTTTCACTTTACAATGTTGCTGAATATGTTTTTGGTCAAATTTTGTGCCAAACTGTTTGTCATTGTTAGTGCTGAACCTTTCTTAGGGTCATAGAGCTAATTGAATCATCCTCACATTGCTCTATTTGATGTAAAAAAACACTGGTAAAACAATTCTAGGGCAGCACTTGTAACAAGTGTTTAAGCTTTAATTTCTTGACGCATGCATTAAGTACTCCAAAATTTGGCACATTTGGAGTGTTTAAATGCCTTTTTAAGGCATTTAGGCCAGCAAATTAATTACACTATTGAAATGCCCTAATTTTTTTTATCAATAGAGAACTTCCTAAATCACTAACATTTATGCTGTAAAAGCATCATAATCATTGTGAGATGTTCTAGTCTTTGGTATCAGTTTGAAAAATAGGAGGAGCAGTGTGGAGAATTTGATCAAGGACTGCCTTAAATAGATAATAATTAATGACTAATTTCAGGAGATGGTATGATAACTCTCTGAATTTGTGCCATCATTTTATTCATGGGAGGTATAAGAATTGACATATTGCTCATGTGCAAGTTCTGGTCACAGGTACTTAAAAATTGAAGGGGAGGATAAATTTAGCCCAAAAGAATGTACTTTAATCATAGAGAAGCCTTCACTTACAGTTCCTTCGGACTGAAAGCTTTCTTCCCTTTTTATGTTCTTTTAACACTTTAGTGGTGTTGCTTTTAATGCAAGTGTATCAAAATTCTATATGAAAGCAATTCAAAGTACCTCTTCAGATTTATGTAACTTTACATATCATTTATCTGTTTGTTCTTTCTTGATTATTTTGATATCATTCCACCGAAACAGACTTTGAGTCAAAAGAGGACTCTGTTTTGGAGACTGTTATGAGTATGGATTACAGCTGTGGTAATCTATATTTATTATTTTGGGTTTTCCTCTTATGTATATTTTTCATACTTTATTTTAAATGTTTTATTACAACGGAGCTGTACTGTGATGATTTGTCAAGGCGTTTGTTAGCAAGTCTTGTTTTGTGTCATGCCACTTATTATGCCTTTATTTAAAATATGATGTTCATTTTACAATTGCAGTTGATGCACATAACTATTTGAATTCGAATTTATTAGGTGTCATCTTGATCTCTTTATTTTGCTGTATTCTTGAAGCTTCCTCAAATTGTGGGCTTCTTTGCATTTATAACTGTGTGGTTTGCATTGAAACTATTCTTGAATAGTTTCCACAGCCAGTTCTTCCCCCCTTTTCTGTGATGAATAAATAATGCTGTTATTAATATGTGTATTGTTTTAGATTGTTGCATACCTTTTAGGAAACCAGAAAAAAATGGGATTGAGAATCTATGTTCTGTAAACCTGACATGCTGCACACTGAAAATACTAATCTGACATTTCTTGGTGCACTCTCTCGACAGAAATTGCATGCACTGTTAATGCACTCTGCTTTTGTCAAGCACCTACCTCTAGACATGGATCAGAATGCATTTCTATTCCTATTCTGCAAGAACAGAGTCAGAGTTCACGATCACCTGGATTCGTGCCCCTCTTGTACCTTCAAGCCATTTGTCTGACTTCAGAAAGAGTGTGCTTAACTTTTCATCCCCTTATGGACGGCACAAAAAAAAATAATCAGGTGACCAGTAGTTGTACTTTTTGTGTTACTTGTGTGGTCAAATGTTTCACATGTCAAGTTGGATTTTGTTGTTTTTAGTGTTTGTGTTTCCCTCCTCTTCAACCCCTGCGGGACGCGCTGGGGAGCGTGAGCGTTGCGTGTCCGGCGCTGACCTAGTCCTGACTCACTTGCGGTCTCACGTGACCTACACCGGTGAGGAGGGAGGGG